CGAGGGGGATTCTAAAACAAGACATAAGCTTGAAAGGAACTGAAGAACTTACTTGGCTCAACTCAACTCAAACTTAACTGAACTCATTTCAATATAAAGCAGTATAAAATAAGTGCAATATAAAGAAAAGTTTTTAAAACATGGATATCAACTCTGTGTATTTGGAAATACAATAGTAACTCTGATGTGTACGCAAAGATACAATAAAACTCTAAGATGTATATAAAAATACAAAATAATACTGTTGTGGGAGTTTCTTTAATCGACAACCATCACTTAAGAGCTATTGTGATGATACAACGTTTTGCCTCACGCTGCCAGGGCTGTCCTATACCTTGTCGAGGGTACAGAACCTAAACTACTAAGTGGATCCACTAGTCTATGCTAAAAAGCACTAAAGGAATCATCTAAAAAGTATGACCCTTTTCAACCCATGATGACTACATGGTTTATGGGGGCTGTGAGTTGTTTGAACTCTCCCCCATATCGGTGTTCAACACTACTCCCAAAATATGATACTAGCTCTTATGTTTAAAAACATACTTCTTTCTGTGATTTGAGATAATTGCTCAAAAACATAGCTCAAAGGCTACCTTGGAAATCAATGTTTCCCATCTTGCTTAATTGTGAAAGCGTTTACTGTTTACGGAAAACTAGCTCAAAGGCTCTTTTATTGTTAAGTTGAGCTTTTTTTATTTAGTCTTATTCTAGATCATTACAACAAAAACATTTTTTAGCGACAGTAAATATATACATTAATAATTAGTGCTAAAGTTTCTACCGACATTAGTTAATTTTCATTGGATCCAATGTCGGTAAAGGCTTTAGGGACATATACAAAGAGTGCTAATTGTCTCTAGAAGTATATATTTAGCGGCAATTAAGCTATTGTCGTTAATTATTTGCCGTTAAAGATCATTTTTGATGTAGTGCATATGAGTCTATACTTAAGTACTTCTATCTTTTATGCTTTTTTTAAACGGAAAAGGGACAAAATTGCCCCTGAACTATGTGAAATAGATCACTTATACCCTTCATTACATTTTAGGATAAAAAATACCCCCATTGTTATCCCAAGAGATCACAAATACCCCTCAAGAGTTGACATCCAAAAATTTTAATGACGTGGCAAGTCACATGGACTGACTCTCCACCTAAGCTGCCAACTGGATTTCCCCTTTCATTGTTGACAAAAATCCTAATTCATCCTCCCAAATTAAACCCTAGTTTTGAGAGAAAAAATGAATCTTCTCCATCAAAGTTTCAAGTAATGTCTGAAGGCTCCATTAATTGAATTGAGAAAATGAACACTTGTCTTACGTTGGCCTTTGTTGTTGCTGTAATCACATTTTTAGTACCAGTAACTGGTGGCTCCACCATTTGTTCCTTCAACATTTTATTTGACAAGAAAATAAACTACTAAAGAAACTTAGAAGCTACACGGTAGAAGAAGAAAAATTATATCGAAAAGATTTTTTTTTCTTGTGTTTCTAGAGTCAAATTTTAATAGTAATCCATAATTTTTCTTGTGTTCACAAGCAGGTTGTGTTCAAAACGGAAAATCGATAGTGTTGGCTGAGCAACGATTGAAAAAGTTAACGATTTAATAAAATTGAACCAAAATGGAAGCAGGGATTGTTGATTCCAACAGAGGTATGGTAGGAACTAGAAACAAAGTTCGATAATTGAATCGATGAGTTACGTCGTTGACGAAAAAGATGTGGCAGACGTTCGATTTGATTCGACGGTTATGGTACCGGAGCCGGTGCCGGTAGTGGTCGAATCAGGAGGTGTAGATGCGGTGGGTACACGTGGGAATCCTAGTTGGCAGCTTAAGTGGAGGGATAAGTCCATATGGCTTGCCATATCATTAATTTTTTTGGGTGTTAACTCTTGAGGGGTATTTGTGATCTCTTGGGATAACGACAAGGTATTTTTTATCCTAAAATGTAACGGAGGGTTTAAGTGGTCTATTTCGCATAGTGTAGGGGAAATTTTGATCCTTTTCCATTTTTTAAAAGAATAAACTCTCATGAAGTCTAGCAACATCGTTTATTTAGAGCATATTACTACTATTGATAGTGTTGTCACCCAATTTTTCGACCTCCACAATATAGATTAATCATCGAGCTTCTTCAATTTCGAACGATTTGAAATAATTAGTTTTAGATTTTTTTAAAAAAAATAATAGTTTGCAGGTTATTTTAAATAATTATATATATAATTAGTATATTTTATGAATATTCGAAAATCGTCTCAAAAAGATTTTTTTAGTTTTACTTAAATGTTTTATCAATTAGTTTGATTTAAGTAATAGTTTATATTTTTAAATTAATTAATTTATAATTAAGTTAAGATTAAAAAGTTTGTTAATTAATTAATATTAATTCGTTTTATTTAATCTTTAGTTGCCTTCACATATAGCCATCTCTTGGATCAATTTGGGCCAAAGTCATAAACCCAGCAGCCCAAAACCCATCTTAGAGCAGTAGTACCCAACGACCCCCTTCGTTTTCTTCTTCGTAATGGTTAGTAGTTTTAAGTCTTCTTTGCGGGTTATTGAAAGTTTTAACTTGATTGAGATTGTTTTTCATTCTTTGAGCATCTTTAAAGCTTTCAAATGGATTAATGGGTCTGCTGGTCTTAGTTCTATGAATATTGCTTTGGTATGTCCTTTTTCTGTTATTTACTTCCTTAGAGTTTTCGAAAATGTAGATGGTTCTTCCTTGTAGCCTCTTTTCGGTTTTCAGCATATCGATATTTGTTATTGTTGTTTTTCTTTTCCAAATAGAGGCATAATCTTAACTAACTAATATGAAGGTTGTTTGTCGTTTTATCGATTGTTTTGTTGATGTAGTAACTGGTTTTCTCTGTTTTTGAATCTCATGACTGTGCTACTGCCTAGCATACCCCGTTTTTAATCGAGTTTATGCTTCCATTTTGCTTAAACTTTAGTTGAAAATGTTTACTATTTGCCGTTGAGTTTCTTTTTCTTCAGTGTGAGGTTCTGTTGCTCTCCAGATTTCAGCTTGCTCCTGTTCTTGTTTTCTTTCAAAGTTGATGCCTATTTTCCTTTTTTGATAGCCTCAGCATGTTATCTTGTTTGGGTTTCCGAGTTTCAAATGTTGTCTTTTTTCAAACTCTAAGTAAGTTGTTTTGATCAAAGGAGAATGTTGTTGCTTTAATATTAAATCTTATTTTCTCTACTACTGGATGTTGATATTCCTTGGTGTTCAAGGTAATGTCTTGATAGCTTGGGTTTGAATTTGTCTAACAAAGTAGTAGCCTTATTGTGTGAAATTGGGTTTGCCTTGTTGTTGACACATTCATGATTGGTACTTATTTGTTGGATCTATTGTTGTCTATATTCTGTTTTGTGTTGCAAGCATCAAGCCTTCCATGTCTCTTATCAGGTTATTAGCATCATCTTCAATAAGTTTTAAAAGTCTTAAGGTTGTCTGTTGTGATTTGGCTTAAGGCATATTTGTCCTATTTAATTTTATAAGGAGTAAAGAGTCATGCAATTTGAAGTTAATCTAATAAATGCATGTATATATGTTCTCTGTTATTAGTAGGCCTATTAGATTTGCCTTATGAGTGATATCTTTCATGATAAAAAAAATGAGATTTTCTTGTTCTTTAGGAAGTCACATGCTTGGCAGTAACTAGTTTTCTTATTGTTTGCATCACTTAGTATAATTAATTACTCCCTTTGTCCAGTAAAGATATTATCTAAATAGTTGATTTAGTTGGGTATTTTGTGATTAAATGGCATAAGCTTTCATGTCTCGTTCCTTTTTGCCATCACTGTTTTCCTCCCTCCCATTTCCCTTTGGTTAATTAATTCTTGTTCCTATAAACAAATACCTTTTAATGTTTATTGAGTTAATTGTGAGTAATGTTCAATTTTACGCAAGCTTGCCTCTTTGATTTTGATGTGGGAGATAAATATTGCCTTATTCTTAGCATGTTCATGAGTATTTATTTATTTATACCCGTTGTGAAATTTCTAGCTCCGCCACTGCTCTATATCCTCCATTTTGTAGAGAGTAATTTGGAGAACTACTATTCACTTCTCTATTTCACTTTTTGATTATTTTAGTATTATTTCTATTATATCATTAATTAAGTCTTTATTATTTGTAATTATTTTTTCAATGTAATATAACATCTAAAATATATTATTGACAAATTACTTCTTCCACCCGAATTAATAATTTTTCTATTTTATTTTTTTCAAAAAAATGTCACTTTAAATATGCAATTTGAAAGTATTTGAATATTATTTATATTATATAAGGCTATTAATTAAGTCTCTAATATTTATAATTATTTTTTAAGTAATATAACATCTAAAAACATATTATTGATAAGTATACTACTTCTATCCCGAATTAACAATTTTTTTAATTTAATTTTTAAAAATTTCTCATCACTTTAAATATGTAATTTAAAATTAATAATTATTTTTCAATATGAAGAATGCACAAATTTACATGATAATTCAAACAATCTATTTTTATGTTATAGTAATAAATTATTAACTACACTTTTTAATGAACATGAAAATAATTGATGCAATAGTTCAAAATCGAATAGAATAAGTAAATTAGTACACGAAATAATTGGATACAAGATGTTTTTTTTTATTTTTAGCTACACATAAAAACTATAAGGACGACATTGCATTAATAGAACATTTATGGGAGCAACATAATAGTTTTAAAGTTAAGTATTTATGTAAAAGTTTAAAATAAATTTTACGATGATGCAATATTTATTATGTAATTGTTTTAATTAATAATCCCACTTTTATTTGAATTGTTCATTAATATATAATTAGAATAAATATTAAATGAAGAATTTGAAAAGAATAAAATTTCATGTTACTTAATGAGTAAAATAAAGAATTAGATTGAAGCGGAATGCCGAGAATTTTATATTTAAATATAGATTAAAATTAAGAATAGGTCTGACTTCACGGTACCGGTGATCGTTGAAGAAGTAAAGTTATTGGAGAGAAGGTCGACTATTACCTTTCTCTGTGCAGAAGAAGAGAAGAGAAGAGAAGAGAAGGGTGAATTGAAGATAATGGAAAATAAAGGAGAAGGAACTGAAGCACAGAAATATATATGGGAAGGAGCAATTCCTCTGCAGATTCATCTTCATGAATCCGAAGTCACTAATCTCCCTGCTCCTCCCCCTGCCATGGTACTCCTTTTTCCAATCTTGACAATGCTTTCAATTGCTTTATTATTACCACTTATTCATCGATTTCGTTTTGATGAATGTGCATGCGTTTTTTTTTTGAATCAATTCTTTGATTTCCTGAATATCCAATGTTAAAATTCTTTGCTTTAGTGGTGGTAAAACACTACACCTCCAATCTATGGATCGGGATTCTGGCTAACTGGAGAAACCCTGATGATTCATTGGGAAGGGGATAGAATGTTTCAATGTGAATTGATCGCCAAAGATTGGTTTGAAATCCAGCTCGGGTTAGATCAGGGAATAGCTGGGGTAAGGGGGAACCACTGTTGAACTATTGGGAAAGGGAAATAAATGATGGTTTGGTCATAAATTGCCAGCACCCACGTCTGACCTATATATTAGGGGTTGAAGTTGCACGGGGAATTGCTGTTGATAGTTTAGAAACTGAAATAAAGTTTGAAAAGTGGGTTATGGCAATGTAACATAATGTTGATGGTTTTTTTAATGTGAGGTTCTGAGATTTGTGGTTTACATTAGTATTTGGGCTAATACCGAAAACTAGTTTCAAGGAAGAAAGTGGATTTACTTTTTGCTACACATGATTTACATGTCTAATATGTTTATCATAGGTACATTCTAAAGGTGGGAAGGAAATGCTAATTAAGAGCACTTTCTCAGTATTCCTACATATTTTACGTCCTTGTTGCGTCCTTCAGTCAGTGTTACAGAAAAGTTGACACCAAAGAAAATTGTTATGGGAAAGGAAGTTTCATTTGGTTAGATGGGAGATCGTGACATATCCCAAGTGTTAGGGAGGGTTTGGAGTTAAAGATTTAAGGGTCTTCAATAAGGCATTATTTGGTATAGTTATGGAGATTCGGGGCGGAGGAACAAGCTTTTTGGAGAGGGATAATAGTGGACAAATATGGGGCTATGGAAAGAGGGTGGAGAACTAAAGATGTAAATATTCCTATGGATATGGTTCAAGGACTAACACTATGGAAGGATGGGTAAAATTTAGTGGTAATGTATCATTCTAGGTTACGAGTCGGGAGGACAGTTAGTTGTTGGGGGCATGGTGGGGACAACACTTTAAAAGAGGATTTCCTAGAATTTATAGATATCATGTCATAAGGATTTTTGACTATCCACAAAATTCGGATAATACAGGGTGGTAAGATATTTTTGGACTTCAGGTTAAGGAGAAATTTTCATGATTGGGAGGTGATTGAGTTCCAAAAATTGTTAGATTTGCTTCACAAACAAAGCATGACATTTTATTGCCATAATGCATGGAGGTGGGATTTGGGGAATTGCAAGGTTTTTCTATAAGTCTGTCTATGAAAAGCTATTAATTTGGGAGGAGGCTGTCTACCCTTATATTCCCAGTTTATGTGACTTTTTTTTAGTTAGTTTCACAAAGAGTGACACCTTTTTATTTTTGGTAACAATTTAATTTTAAACTTTCCATTTTACCTTAAAATAGATAGTTTACAGCCACACAAGTATCTATGACTTGTTTTAAACCACAAACTTCAAAAATCTTCTGTTCATTCTTAAACTCCATGCTTAGTCAACACCTTCACATAAATTTGGATGGTGGAAGTAGTTTGATTTGGATTCCAAAAGTTTCAAGGGAAGTGTGTTTCTTCACTTGATTTGCAGCTAGAAGGGTGAACTTAACAAACGAGAATCTTAGGAAGCGGAACGTCATTTATGTCGATTAGTGTTTCATGTGAAAGGAGGCTGGTGAAGATGGTAATCATCTCCTTCTACATTGTGTGCTTTTACCTTGAGGTTATGGTGGGACATACTTAATTGGTTCAACATATCATGGGTGATGCCAAACACTGTCAAAGAGTCAAGTTCAACTGGAATTGTGGTAAAAGGAGGAAGAGGCATTGAGCTGGAATGTTGCTCAGCTAGCACTCATGTGGGTTATTTGGAGAGAAATAAAATGAAAACTTTTGAGGGGGTACTAATGAATTTTGAGAATGTGAGGCCATAGCCTCTTATCCCTTACTTTCTTTTGGTGTGCTCCCATGAAGTGCCTTTTTGTATAGAAGATGGGTATTTCTTGTAGAAAAACATATTTATCTGTAGTTTTCTATTTTTTGGGTATACTAGTATACATTGCTTTTGTTAAACCTAAACATTAATGGAGTATATTTACTTTATTAAAAAAAGAAGAAATAAAAAGGCATTCAGGATATGTTGATATGATAAATATGAGTTCCATATTAAGTGTTTTGAGTTATTTGCTAAAATTGCCAATGGGCTGCGACATTAAAGTAGGAATATCTCTGCTAAAATCCCAAACAAAAATATAACTCTTTTTGGAATTGAGTACAATCAGGTTCAAATAGCATTTTCACTCTTAATTCCAATTTCCAGTAGACCATACTCGTTAAATTTCTTTCTGGTAAAAAAAGACCAACAATTCCCTAGGAGAAACTGTTTTTTTTTTTTTTTTGCGGTTCCTATCTTTTTCATCATGATTCAAATCTTAGGAGACTGAAATCAGCTGTCCTCTGCAGCTACTTAGTTTACTGCAGTGTCATGGTTATTATACCAGACACATGAATGAATGCATAATAACCCGATATCCCCCCCTCCCCTCCACCAGACTCTCTCTCTCTCTCACACACACACACATATATATATAGAGAGATATTTTATTTTTTATAATCTACAAAAAACTAATTTATTTTTTATATTTGATGGTGTTCCGTGTTGCAGATTTTAGCTCCTCGAATTGGGTACCTGCCTCTTTTAGCACAAAAAGTAGAGCCTTTCTTCAGTAATTCACTTCCTCCAGGTGTAGATACCATATGGTTTGAGTACAATGGCTTGCCTCTCAAATGGTATGCATACTCTCATGCCAATCAGTGTATCTTGGTCATGAGTTTATTTCTCAGTGGTTGAATTGTTGAGTCGTTATAGTATATTCCACTGCTCGAAACAATTGTATACACTGATACATGAATGAGTTCACTCGATGTATTCAGGATCTCTTTATTCTAGATTAACCGTTTGCAATGTTTGATTTTTTTCTTGTTTAAGAATCATATTCTCCAGAAATATGCTACAGTTCTTTTTTCAGTTTATCTAGTTCTTGTCTTTACAACTTTTTTTTTGAGAAGGTAACATTTGTATGTATTGACTAAAACCAGTACATGGATTGTACTGAAGCCATAATTACAACATATCAACAAAACACGATATCTGAATCTAAAATCTAACAAGAGCGAAGGATCTCAATAATTGATTTAGTATCCTCTAGGTACATCTGTTTGCACCAGAAATAAAAAAGTCTGATACAGTTCAATTTGATCTTCTCAAGATCACAACTTTTTCTCTCAAAACATCTAGCATTTCTCTCTCCAGATTGTCCACCAAATACAGACTGGGACAATCCTCCATCGGTCTCTGTATGAAGCTCCCACACCTACCTCTTTCCAACTGTAGAGAAGGTGGGTGATTCTGTTAGGCATAGTCCAAACAATACCCCTGAGGCTGATAAAAATCCTCCAAAGTTGGCTTGTTACTGACCATCTCAACCTCTTCTCCACACAAATAGCATCTGGAGCACATAAAGAACTTCCTCTTCTTGAGACTTTCTTGTGTCAGGACTACTTCTCTTGCCAGTAATCAAGTAAAACATGCCACCTTGAAGGGGATTTTTGTATTACAGATCTGTTTTCATGGCCATTGTGGTGGCTGTTGTCCACCTTGGTTCAAAAATTTGTATGCTGAGTTCACCTTAATCATGCCTTTGCTATCTTTGTTCCACCATAGTCTATCAACCTCATCCTTTGCCCCTTTGAACTCTTCCAAAGCTCTGAAAATTCTGTGACGGTTACAATTTCCTAGTCATTAAAATTCCTTCTAGCTGGATGTTCTGTCCTTGTTGTGTCCAACTGTCAGCCAAACTCATTTGTTGATGTACTGCCATAACATACATCTCAGGTAAAAGGTTCTTTAAACTAGCACGTCCCAGCCATTTGTCCTCCCAAAAGGTCTTACTTCCATTGCCTACCCTCACAGTTGTGTTGTTTTCAAAAAAGGCCAAAAAGTTCTGATAGACCTCCATAGACTTACACCATAGGGTGTAGATACCTCCTTTGTCATCCATATGTTCTCCTCTCCCTATTTAGCTTTAATTACTTTACCCCTGTATGCTTGAGGCTGAGTATCTCCATAACCACTTCAGTCTAAGTCCCTTGCTTTGCATTTTCAGATTTCTTACTCCTAAAACCCCCTTGCTTCTTTCCCCAAAGAACCTTGTTCAATTTGACCAAGTGCTGAACAGTAGAGTCATTTTCCTTAATCCCTTTCCAAAGATAATCTCTCCTAATCTTGTCTAATCTTTGTATCACTCCATTAGGAATGGGAAAGATAGACATCATGTAGGTTGGAACTTGGAAGAGCATCCAAAACAGAGTTGATGAGAGTGACTCTGCCACCTATGGAGATGTACTGAGATTTCCATCTAATTAACTTCTCACACTTTTCAATCAATGAGTTCCAAATGCTCATTGCCTTTGACTTGGCACCTACAGGCATACCCAAGTACATAGTAGGCAGGGAGTTGTCTTTACAGCTTTTGTCGTCACATATCACATCATCCAGTTATCTTTTTCTTTTTTTGTCCCAATGCATGCAAAGCAGTCTTGTCATACATTCTCTTTATATGTTGATGTCTGTTGATGGTAGCCAACTATGTCAATTAGAACACTAGCTGGCATCCGCAGCTCAAATGTATAGCAGTTGATCATCATGAATTGACTTATTCATTCTGGAACATCTTCTTTGAATAACATTTGAAGAACCTGAAGAGGATGATACCACGTTGGACGTCTTTCTTAGCTTTTCTTGTTTTCCTCATTTAAGAGTGTTTGGCTGTCCCTATATTTGTTTTGTAATGCGATTAATATTTTCTTTTGATGGATATTTGTGTTCTTTCAGGTATATACCTACTGGGGTACTCTTTGATCTTCTTTGTGCAGAACCTGAACGGCCTTGGAATCTGACGGTATGTCAACATATTTTGCTTTAAGCTAATAAGCTATGTGGAATTTTTAGCTGAAAGTAACACCGTATTTGTTGGAGTTTTCTGAGGAAGGGTACTAGAAAGTGGCAACATAGCTTGATTCTATAGAATTTAGCAAGCACAAATAAGAAGTGGAAGTGCAGACATGAAATCCATCACATAATCTTTTTTCTCAAGCCCCCACTTGTCGACTAAATTGAGGGTGCAATTGATACCAATATATGAAGTTTATTTAATGTCTTAATGACTAAGGGGGTGTTTGGATGGGCTTTTTTAAAGTGACTTATAAGCCAAAAGCTAAAAGTTAAAAGTTGAGGACACCCAACTTTTGACATTTTTCGGTACTTTTTCAGCCTTTAAAGAAGTGCTTAAAAGCACTTTTTGAGTTACCCCAACACTTTCAAAACTAAAAAACAACTTAAAAGCCAAAAGCCACTAAAAATAAGTCAATCCAAACACCCACTAAATCACTAATCTGCTTTCTTTTAACTTCACCTTTCTGTTTTGAGAAAACGGGGGTTAAAGCTATTTGCTTCATCAACTGAAGAAAGCTAAATGTTGTCTCTTAACAGATAAAGATTGCAAACACTTGCCCTTCCTTATCCTCTCCCTTGGTTTTATGCCAAAAGCATTCTAATTGTAAAATAATTCTAGGAGAAGTGAATGGCTAGGATGGAAATATATTATATGGTCAATTGATCACTTAATGTACGATTTCTGCATGAAGCATCTCTTGTGCAGATGATATTCTTAAAGATTTTGAATCCGTTTGGATAAATGGCCCGTTACATTTTTTTGGTAGAACATATAAGCTTATTATCTGAATACAACAATTATTTATGTGTTTGACACTTTACGATTTGATTCGTTTGAAGAATAGGAGGAAACAAGAGAGGCAGTAAAACTGTAAAATGATGGTGCTTTTTAAGTTAAAATAAACTATATACCTCTTCATTTCAATTGACCTGTTTGTTTTTCATAAGGTAATTACAAACTTAATGTATGGTTGCACAAGTGTAATTACACAGTTAAATATTATTCAATTTTACCTATTACTAAGTGTTAGAATAGAATAGGTAAACACAATCCTACACAAAATAGGAATAGTTTATAGTCTCCTATTTGGTAAGGAATTGTATTATTTAGTGTCTATAAATAGGGTTCTCTATGTAATAATTAGAACAACAATTCAATAATATTTTTCCCATATATTTCTCACATGGTATCAGAGCATTGGTGAGAAACTTACCCAAAATAATAATAATAATTAAAAAAGAAGAAGAAAAAGTCAGAATCCGGTGACTGTAATGGCTGGTTTGCATTGTTGTCTTGTTTTACAAGTGCTGTGCAAAAACCCACACCACCACGAGGTGCGGAACACTCAGGCGAGCAAACCCCAGTGGGATCCTCTGACTTTCACCTTGTCACGTGCCCCCACGCGCCGCCGGCAGCTGCAGGTTCGCGTCACCACGCGCGTCACGTGCTGGCGAGTGCGACACTTTCCGGCCAGTTTTTTCGACCCATTTTTTTTTCATTGAGGTCGCCTCTCCATTCTGAGGCAGATTGTATATTTATTTTCTTATTCCGACCAGTTTCAGGCAGTCAGACCTAATTTCCGGCGACTGCACCTTTTTTTTCCAAATTCCGACCATCCTTGTCTTTTTTTTTTTTCCTCTCTCTAAATTCATAATATGTCTTTAGGGATTGATATTTTTGGCTCCAATAATATAGGTAGTTCAAGTGCTATGATCACTTCAGAACCATTAATGGGAAGCTAAACTATTTAGCTTGGGCTTCCTCGATTGAGTTATGGTGCAAGGGGCAAGGCGTTCAAGATCACTTAACCAACAATACTTGTGTGATAGATGAAAAGGCAAAGGCTAGTGAGACAGATAATAAAGTCAAAGCACAATGGGAGAAGGTTGATGCTCAATTATGTAGTCTCCTATGGCGATCTATCGATTCCAAGTTGATGCCCTTGTTTCGCTCATCCCAAACATGTTATTCAGTTTGGGAAAAGGCTCGTGCTTTATATACTAATGGTATATCTCGATTCTATGATGTGATATCTAGAATGACTAGCTTAAAGAAACAAGAATCTGATATGTCTACTTACTTGGGACAGGTATAAGCAGTCATGGAGGAATTTGACACATTGATGCCAATCACTACAAATGTGGACAAACAACAAGAACACAGACATACGTTGTTTCTAGTTCTTACACTTGTTGGACTTTCTACTGACCATGATTCAGTGCGTGATCAGATTTTAGCTAGTCCTACCATTCCTACAGTTGATGAATTATTCTCTCGTCTACTTCGTCTTGCCGTGCCTCCCAACCACAAAGTAGTTTCATCACCGACCATTGACTCATCTGCTCTCGCATCTCAAACCATAGAAAAATGAGCATATCAATCTATGGAGAATCGACGAGGAGGAGGTCGTCTTGGAAAACCTCGATCCAAGTGTAGTTATTGTCATAAGTCTGGACACACTCGTGACATATGTCATAATTTGCATGGTCCACCACCCAGTTATGATCCTGCTACTCTAAAGGAATATAATGAGTTCCTTCGTAATCGTGCAAGTAAGCATACATCTTCACAAGAAGCATTTGTTGCTCCACCTGATCGACCATCCCATAATGCTCATATTGCTCAATTAGAATATGATGAGTTCCTTCAATATCGAGCAAGTAAGCAAACGTCTCCACAAGTAGCTTCGGTTGTTCAACATGATGTTGCTGCTGCGGGTAATTCTTTTGCTTGTGTTTCACAGTCTAATACTCATGGATCATGGGTTATGGACTCAGGCGATTCTGATCATGTTTCTGGTAACAAATCACTTCTGTCAGATATTGTTTATTCACAATCTCTTCCTGCTATTACTTTGGCCAATGGGATACAAACAAAACCGAAAGGGGTTGGAAAAGCCACACCCCTATCTTCTGTCACTCCAGACTCTGTTCTTTATGTCCCTGGTTCTCCTTTTAATTTGGCATCTGTTAGTCGTTTGACACGTGCCCTACATTGTGGCATAACCTTTTTTGATGATTTTTTCTCATGTAGGACCGCAATACAGGACAGACGATTGGCACAGGACATGAATCACAAGGCCTTTACTATCTTACCTCTTCAAATACCTTCACAGCATGCCTGTTACAGATCCTCCGGACCTCATTCACAAACGTTTGGGGCATCCGAGTCTATCTAAACTGCAACAGATGGTGCCTAGTTTATCTAGTTTATCCAAATTAGATTGTGAGTCGTGTCAACTTGGGAAACACACTCGTGCCACATTTCCACGTGGTACTGAGGCTCGTTTAGAGTCTATTTTTTTATTAGTTCATTCTAATGTTTGGGGTCCTAGTAGAGTCAGTTCCACCTTAGGATTTCGTTATTTTGTTAGATTCATTGATGATTATTCGAGATTTACTTGGGTTTTCTTAATGAAAGATCGTTCTGAGTTATTTTTTATATTCAAAAGTTTCTTTGCTGAAATAAAAAATCAGTTTGGTGTTTCTATTCGTACTTTTCGTAGTGATAATGCCTTAGAATACTTATCATCCCAGTTTCAGGAGTTTATGTCTGACCAAGGAATTATTCACCAAACATCTTGTCCATACACTCCTCAGTAAAATGGTGTAGCGGAAAGAAAGAATAGGCATCTCATTGAGACTGCTCACACTCTCCTTATTGAATCCCATGTTACACTGCGTTTTTGGGGTGATGCAGTCCTTTCATCTTGCTATTTAATTAATAGAATGCCCTCATCTTCTATTTAGAATCAGGTTCCACATTCCATACTATATCCTCAGTCACATCTCTATTCTATCCCTCCTCGTGTATTTGGGAGCACATGCTTTGTTCATAACTTAGCCCCAGTAAAAGATAAATTAGCCCCTCGTGCTCTTAAATGTGTCTTTCTTGGTTACTCTCGAGTTCAAAAAGGGTATCGTTGCTATTCACATGATCTCCACCGATATCTTATGTCTGTCGATGTAATATTCTTTGAATCTCAACCTTACTACACATCTTCTGATCATCCTGATATCTCTGAGGTCTTGCCTGTACTGACTTTTGAGGGACCTACAGTATCTTCTCCATCTCCAGTTGTAGTGCCACCACTCCTAACTTACCATCAACGTCCACGTCCAGCAATAGTCTCAAATGATTCATGTCATGCGCCGGACCCTGCTCCCACTGCGGCCTTGCCTCCTGCTAGTCAATCGATTGTACTTCAAAAAGGTATACGATCTACTCGAAATACTAATCCACATTATACTTTCTTGAGCTATCATCGTTTATCTTCACCCCATTATGCCTTTGTATCATCTTTGTCCTCTATTTCCATCCCTAAGACTACAGGAGAAACACTTTCTCATTCTGGATGGAGGCAGGCTATGATTGATGAGATGTCTGCTTTACATTCGAGTGGTACTTGGGAGCATGTCTCCCTTCCTACTGGTAAGTCTACTGTTGGTTGTCGTTGGGTTTATGCGGTCAAAATTGGTCCAAATGGTCAAGTCGATCGACTTAAGGCTCGCCTTGTTGCTAAAGGGTATACTCAGATATTTGGGCTAGATTATAGTGACACTTTCGCTCCTGTGGCCAAAATAGCATCAGTCCGTCTTTTTCTATCTATGGCTGCCGTTCGTCATTCGCCTCTTCATCAGTTGGACATTAAGAATGCTTTTCTGCATGGTGATCTAGAGGAAGAAGTCTATATGGAGCAACCACCTGGTTTTGTTGCTCAGGGGGAGTCTAGTAGCCTTGTATGTCGATTGCGTCGGTCACTCTATGGTCTGAAACAGTCTCCTCGAGCTTGGTTTGGAAAGTTCAGCACAGTAATTCAGGAGTTTGGCATGACTCGTAGTGGCGCTGATCACTCTGTGTTTTATCGGCATTCAGAACCAAATCTGTGTATTTATTTGGTTGTTTACGTTGATGATATCGTTATCACCGGCAATGATCAAGTTGGTATCGCTAATTTGAAGCAGTATCTTTTTCAGCATTTCCAAACTAAAGACCTCGGCAGACTGAAATATTTTCTTGGTATTGAAGTTGCTCAGTCTAGATCAGGTATTGTTATTTCTCAACGCAAGTATGCTTTAGACATTCTTGAGGAGATATGAATGATGGGATGTAAACCCATTGACACTCCTATGGATCCGAATGTTAAACTCCTTCCAGGACAGGGGGAGCAACTCAGTAATCCTGAAAGGTATAGACGGTTAGTTGGAAAGTTGAATTATCTCACGGTGACTAGACCGGACATCTCTTTTCCTATGAGTGTTGTAAGTTAGTTTATGACTTCTCCTTGTGATAGTCATTGGGATGCGGTTGTTCGTATTCTGCGATATATAAAGTCAGCTCCTAGTAAAGGACTACTCTTTGAGGATCAAGGCCATGAGCATATCATCGGATATACGCTGATTGGGCAGGATCACCCTTTGATAGACGTTCTACATCCGGATATTGTGTTTTAGTTGGAGGTAATTTGGTGTCATGGAAGAGTAAGAAACAAAGTGTGGTTGCTCGATCCAGTGCAGAAGCAGAATATCGAGCAATGGCTGTAGCAACTTGTGAGCTAGTTTGGATCAAACAGTTGCTTGGAGAACTGAAGTTTGGAGAAACCGGTCATATGGAACTTGTGTGTGATAATCAAGCAGCCCTTCATATTGCATCAAATCCAGTGTTTCATGAGAGGACTAAGCACATTGAGATTGATTGTCACTTTGTAAGAGAAAAGATACTCTCAGGTGATATTGTTACCAAATTTGTGACGTCAAATGATCAACTTGCAGATATCTTCACCAAGTCTCTCACCGGTCCTCGTATTAATTACATTTGTAACAAGCTAGGTACATATAATTTGTATGCACCAGCTTGAGGGGGAGTGTTAGAATAGAATAGGTAAACACAATCCTACACAAAATAGGAATAGTTTATAGTCTCCTATATGGTAAGGAATTGTATTATATAGTGTCTAGAAATAGGGTTCTCTATGTAATAATTAGAACAACAATTCAATAATATTTTTTCCATGTATTTCTCACACTTAGTATATACATATTAATTTTTTAAAATATAGGTTAAATAATTGTAAATTTGTAACTAATATTGCAATAAATTATTGATATACAATTTCCAAATGTATGATATTTTAGTTGAATTGATTAATAAAGATTCTAACTTAGCACACACAATTTGCAAAATATCATGAACTACATGTTTGACCAAAAAAAATTACAACCATAACTTCATAACATTGTTCAAATGTTTGATAAAAAATAATCTACAAATTTTGTCATCACCAAGTATATGTTAAGTTTCTCTATAACCTCATTCAACAAGAAAATCCAACTTTAATGCAATCATTATAAGTCAAGTTTGGAGATGACTCGTTGTTTCTATGAATATGAGGTATAGTTTCAAAAATTTAGAATAATAACACAACTAAGCAAAATGAAGAAAATAAAATAAATAAATAAGAAAGAAACAAAATATGAGAAATTATATGGAAGCACGTAAAGTGAAAGTTTGGAAATGAGAAATAAAGAAATGAAAGATAAACAATGTAAAAATCATATATATATATATAAGAGAACCCTAGGTTTGCCTACGTGGCACCACCACAAACCAGAATTCCCTTTTAACTTATTTATTTCCAAAACTGGCCTTCCCTTTTCATGAAAAATTGTGACTTTTATGAAAAGTTTTGACTTTTATGAAAAGTTGCGACTTTTATGAAGAGTTGCGACTTTTATGAAAAGTTGCGACTTTAATGAAGAGTTGCTACTTTATGAAAAGTTGTGACTTTTATGAAATGTTGTGAACTTTCCGAAGGGTTGCAACTTGCAACTTTTCCAAATAGTTGTAACATTTCCGATAAGGCACGATAAATATTTGTTCACACTACCCTTTGTTATCTATAAATAGAGGGATTTCCTCCCATTTTAAAACAACGAAAATTCTGAACCTCCTCTTCTTCTTCTGCACAATTAAATATTCGTGTACATTGCTCTTGTAGAGCGGCTCACTGACACTATTGCTTATGTTACAGGTCCTAGTATGTATTTTTACAGTCATTAATTTATGCTTATGTTATTAATGATAAATTATAAGATGTTATAATTTTTATTTTCCTTTACATTATTAATGTTTGTCACAACGTAATCTTGTATGTAAGATAATATAACTTTTTAGTTTTAATGACTGATAGATTTTTAGTATTATTTTATAAATTCCGTGATATTGAATTCACGCGCAAAGCGCGGGTAATTTTACTAGTATAATATATTTGAAAAATATAAAAGGAATATCAAAATGAAAAAGAATTTTAAATAAAATATAAATTAAAAGGAATAGAAATTAAAGTTAAAATAAAACAATGAAGATAATGACCTTGTAATTACACCATGTAATTACTAGCAATTTTCAACCCCCTTATAAGAATTGAAGAGTGTGATTACTCCCTCAATTACACCTAATTACACCCTGGCCAAGTAATTACTCGGTCAAACTCAGACAAACATACCAAAACTGTATAATTACCACCCAAGGGTGTGGCTTAGTGGTCAATGAAGTGGTTGAGAACCCTGAGGTCTCAGGTTCAAAACTTAGCGGAGACAAAAAACACTTGGTGATTCTCCCCCCGTCCTAGCCTTGGTGGACAGAGTTACCTGATACTTGTTCCTAGTGGGAGGTGGCAGATATCCTGTGGAATTAGTCGAGGTGTGTGAAAGCTGGCCCTGACACCACGGTCATAAAAAAAGTCTATAATTACACCTATTTGCACTAAATTCCATTACACCTATTTACACTCAATTCCAATTACAAAGTGGGTTTTCAAACCGGCCTTACAGAATCCAACCACCTTGTTACTTTGGACTTAACTTTTATGATGTTGTAGCATGCTTTAGTTAATGAGACAAGTTATTATATTATCAGGGATGCATCTTAGTTTATTGGCAACACCTTCGTGAAATCTCTCTGCAGGTACATTTTAGAGGATATCCTGGAAATGTTTTAACACCCTGTGACAGCGAAGATAGTGTAAAATGGAGCTTTATCAATTCATTTAAAGAGGTGAGGTATAGTTTCTTTTGTTAGCTTCTGCACTTTTAACCTCTTTCTTTTCTTTTTGATAGGTTAAAGTAAGTTTCAAAAAAAAGTAGATTTCATTAACAAATCTCAGTACCAAGTTGGTACTGAGCAAGTAAAGTTGCTCGGATCTTTTCTTGTAATTACAAGATACATTGTAGCTTGTAAAAGTTTGATCACACCTTATTCTTTTGTGTCCTACTGGTGCTGGATCATTTTGATAGTGGATATATCTAGTTGCAAGTGAGATTTGGTAGGCTATTTCATAATTATATAAATGGGGCTCTACCCAGTGTCAAAAGGGTGCTTAAAGCACGCTTAATCCCTGAAGCAAGGCTCAAAGCGTGTTGAGCGCTTTGCTTAATGTGTGCTTCAGTGTCATCATCAAAGTTCTAAGGCATACTTTTTCTTGCCAATGAACCTCTTCTGAAGAAGTGACACCAAACAGTTGATTTTCCACTTAATAGTATTTTTTTAATTTCTTGGTTCATATGTTTGCCATTCATGTTTATAAACTACTAGTTTTGGACTAAACATATATATTTGTATTCTTTCTCCCTTTGCGCCTTTGTCATTAAAGCCCACACTTTGTTTACGATTTGTGCTTAAAGCCCCAACGGACCTTAGAGTTCTTCTGTACTTATTGCTTTTGATAACACTAGCTCTATCCACCGTGTCACCAGTACTATTACACCCTTCAAATTTATGCGAAGGTATTTAGTTGAATACTAAACTAAAAAAAAGAAAAGGCTTTTAAAATTTGTGAGATAAAATAAATCTGAGAAAGTTATGTGACTAAAAATTGTATAGCCCCCCTTTTATAGAATAGGTACTAAGTTTATCTTAAAATGTGCCTTCTGGTAGCAGATAAAATAAATCTGAGGAATTTATGTGACTATAAATTGTATATTTCTGTGCTCACGTACATTATAGCAAAAAATAGAACATATTAGAGTATCTATTTTTCTGTCGTATTGAAGTAAGTTAAATTTGGTATCAAGTTAACACCCCCCCCCCCCCCCCCACACACACACACACACCACCACATAGAATAGTTACTAAGTTTATCTCAAAATGTGCCTTCTGGTAGCTAATAGCAATGCTCCAGAACTGTGGGACTATGTAGATTGTAGGTTGTCAGAGATGTGAATCTAGGGATGTACGATTGGGGTTCACAATCAATTCGTTCATTTGCGTCCAGTGGACTTTAATTGTGTGCCCACAGACAGAGGACAATGCTGGTTGTAAGAGCTACGAATCACGGGGGATCAGTGTTGGGGTTTAGCTTAGAACTGAGGTCTGATGATGTTGAACTTATGGGGTACATTCTGACAATTTCATTGGCTGAACTGCAGGCAGCATATATAATCAATGGGAACTGCAAAAATGTAATGAATATGTCCCAATCTGACCAATTAGAACTCTGGCGCTCCATTATGGATGGTATGCATCTTAATTGCAGGGTTTATGATACTATGGCTTCTTTTATTTCTGAAGTGACTTATTTTTGTGAATTTATTATGAGCAAGGTAAAGTGCATCGTACTAGTATAACTTGTATGCAAAGTAGTTAGGCTTTTGACTTTTTAACATGGATGATAATGAAACCTCTTTGATTACCTACAAATGCTTTCAGAATAAGGGTAATCTAAATCTGGTCTTAAGAACAGTGAATTAGTATCTTTCTTGTTGAATAAGTTAAAACCTGTTATAACTGCGTATCAATCACCATCAGAACACAAAAAGGAAAACATTGGTTATAGATCAAGACGTTTAAGGTGGTAAAAATCATGCGATGTTATTTGACTTTTAGTTTTCATATCTGACAAAGATAAAAGAAGAACATCAATGTATTACTACCGATATAAAAAAAAAGAAAAGGGAACATCCATGTATTGCTAACAATATTTAAAAAAATAAAAGAACGTCAATGTATTGCTATATTCTCCAGGGTAAATGTTGGTGTATTGGGGTTTCTTCTTGTATTGGACAGTGAAGTTTCCATGAGAAAAAAAAAGGGTCTTTCCAGAATTCTTGTCCAAACTTGTACCCATCCAACCTTGTTTGCTGTTTTAGAGTTGGGGTCAAACTCTTCTCCATAATCTAGATTTCCTAATTAATCACATCTGTGGCTCTACCAAATCTTTTTTTCACCTTAACCTTAGCGTACATTTTTATTTTCTCATAGGCAAGTGGTAAATTAGATGCGAGTTCTGGAATCTTAATAGAACTTCTTGTAGATTTAGTTCTCAGACAATTCACGTCTTAATCTTCTAGGATGATAGTTTCGCAGAATACGCAGAAGTGCTTGAGATAAAATATGTCAGGAGGCAACTTAGCAAATCATTTTTTTTCCAATAAGGAATTGTGATGTCTTCCTATGGAATTTTGGGTCTCTGTATTAGCTCTTATATGGGTGTACAATTTTCTGCAATATTCTCAGTTAGGTTTGTTGTGTGAATGGCATGTTTGATCTATTTCTATGAAGTGTTTATTCTTTATGTGGAATATGAAGAATCCCTCCCTGTTCTGTCCTTTTTTTTTCCCGAAGAAGTTAATATCATTAAAAGGCATCAAGAAGATGAAAAGGTTACAAAAGAGAGTATGTATGTCAGTTCAATTACAAAAGGGAGGCTGCGATAAGGAGGCATTTGGCCATGATTTTTTTTTTCTTTTTTCCGGAGTTACAAGAACAACATACCTAGTGAAATCCACAAGTGGGGTCTGAGGAGGGTAGAGTGTACACAAAACTTACCTCCACAAGGTGGAAGTAGAGAGGTTGGTTCTGAAGGACCCGCGACTCAAGTACAACAAATCAAAGTAGGTGTGGAAAGGGGAAATGATAATGAAGAAACATAACAATTGATAAGGGAATAATAACAACCACAAAAGAGTACGATAACCTAAGCACAATAAACAAAAGATGATGATAGAAATCAAAAGAAGATACTACAAGAATAAGGCTAACACCAAAGCAGGCCCCACCAAGTCTAAACACCTCAAAAAACAAGACAACACACCATACCTACTATTCTAACCTTCTACCCTAATCGCGACCTCCACACCCTCCTACTAAGGTCATGTCCTCAAAAATCTAAAGTTGCGCCATATCTTGTTTATTCACCTCTCCCCAATACTTTTTCACCCTATCTCTCCTCTCTTCGTAGTTCGTATCCACTATATCCAACCTCTTGCACCTCCTCACTGTAGCATCTCCGCATCTCCTCTTCACGTGCCTAACCATCTCAGTCTCGCTTCCCTCATCTTGTCCACTACGGAGGCCACTCCCACCTTGTCCAGATATCTTCATTCCTAATCTTATCGCTCCTAGTAGTATGCCCATACATCTATCTCAACATCCTTATTTCCACAACTTGCATCTTTTGAACATGGGAGTTCTTGACTATCCAAATCTCCGCCCCATGCAACACAATCAGTCTAACCACCACTCCACCACTCTGTAGAACTTACCTTTAAGTTTAGGTGATACCTTTTTATCACACAAGACTCAGGAGGCAAGCCAACACTTCATCCGGGCCGCACAAATACGATGTGTGACATCATCATCGATGTCCCTACTTCCCTTCCAGAAAACACGTTTGGCCATGAAATTCCGGAATTTGGAAAACACCAAAAAACTGCTTTTATTTTTTTCACTCCTGATTTCTCACAAAAATTAGAAAACAACTCCAATTTGTATTTATGGCCAAATACAACTCCAATTTTCAAATATCATTTTTTCACTTTGAAAACAAAAATTACTTTATACAAATTTTCATGGCCAAAGACCCCCTAAGACGAGAGCTAACAAACTCTAAAAAATGATCAGTACTATTTACAGGAGAAAGGTTAACCCAGCTAAATAAAACCAAACATCTAGCCATAAGGGAACTGCCTGAAGTTGAGATACCCATCAAAACATCGGTAATTTGCCTCCATCCAAATTCACCAAAAAATGCTTGCAGATACCATAATCCAAATCTTTTTGGTGTCTTTATCAACTTTCTGTGAATTCCAGCGCACATAGGCTTCACGAATAGTGAATGACATAGCCCAGTTCAGTCCAACAATAGTAAGAACATGCACCAAAGGTCAGTTCCTACTGCACAGTAAAGGATCTGGTGGTTGACACTTACTGAATTGGATTGGCACATAAAACAACTATTGGCTAACTGGAAGTTCCCTATCCTTTGCCAACACAAAGTTAAATGCATTCTGATGAATTTCCTTGACAAAAGGCTGGTTTAATTCTCCATGTATTACTTGCTGCATCTTTTACCTATGTCATGCACATACAGTGCTAGGGGACTGTTTCATCTTTCTAGGTGAGCTTATCATAACCGACCATCCGTGGTTATATGACTAACTGAACTTGTGTTCTTGATGTAACAGGTAATTTAGACTCTTATCTTCGAATCTCATCTAAGCTTAAATTTGGCATACTTGTGGATGATTTTTCAATACAATTGAACATTTCCTCTCCTAAATCACCGGAAAGCACTCAAAATGCAGATGGCCCAGCACCAGCTAAAACAGGTGAGCTACACTTGTATATAGTCAGGCGAGCTTACAGAATATGGTAAAACTGTGGATGTTCAATTGGCCCTCTCTGCGCCCAATTCTCCCCCCTACCCTTTTCGTTGATTATACATATTTTAACGTTGCTCTATAGTTTGTGAATGATGAACTTTTGATTTGACAGCTCTAGCTAGTGGGAGAGATTAAGTTGATATTCTTAGCACTGGTGCATCTTAGAGGAGCTTGCCCTAGCACGTAGTTGAGTGAAGCTATATTCTTGTTATTCGTGTCTCATTGTCCCTTCATGATAAGATTTCTGCTGTTTAAGTTCCTTCATATGACAAGGCTATTCTTCAAATTTTAGTCACCTGTGTTGGTTCACGATTATCTATATTTTCTAATCCCAGTTTAACTTTAAACCATGTCAGTGATAGTTTAAGCCCAACTGTTGGAAGTGTAATTTGATCATCCTTCAGATTTTTCTTATTGACTTGGTGAACTGTTCGAGAGAGATAATTTCATTGTGATTTGGGGTTAAAGTGATGGAACCTGATGAGTTGCCCATGACATGTTTCTTTGTGTGGCACTTGTGAGCTCACTGAAACAACTTGACATGTGCTGTTGTGGCATAGGAGATTGGGCTCTTTCTAGGCTTAAGATTTACTTAAAGCTATCTTGCCAGAACTGATGGCATTTGTTTTTTTTTGAGGAATTGTATTCTTGCAAGATATTAGCATTGTTTTGAATCTCAACCGAGATAAACACTAGGTGATTTCTTCCCATCTGCTCAAGTCTTGATGGCAAAGTTACCCAATACTTGTGCTCGTGCAAGCTGTCCCTGGACATTGGAAAAATAACAGTAAAAACCACTTATTCTTGTTCTGCGTTTATTTGGAGTGGGCTTCAGTAGTTTATTGGTGGGGATGAAAGGAGTGGTCAATGAGATCAATTGTCAAAGTCTCATTGGGAAGCTATCTTAGAGATTGAAACCACCCTTGTCCACTATTCGTTTATCAGTGAAAAGATCATCATCTACCTTAATGATGCATTCTTGCTGCTTGGATCTTTTTGGGATCAACAAAAAGGTCTACTCCATCCTAATTTTTTTACACTAACTCCCATATAAATTGTCTTCTGGTGGTGCTGTATTCAGGTAGAATACCGGTTCGACTGTATGTTAGAACTATCAATGAGGATTTTGACGAGTTAGAAGATGCACCTGTTGTTGACAGTTGGGACAGAATCTCTTACATAAACAGACCTGTTGAGATCCATGGAGATGGTAAGAAATGTGCCCCATATAATCTTTAGTTTCATTTTGTATTTGTGCACGTACAGTGACTCAAACCTCTGGTAACTTCATGAACATCAACGCATACTTAAGATAGGTGATTATATTTTACATTCAGGCTTAACTTTAGTCTTTATTTTCCTATGAGGTAAATGTTGACTGGTGGGGAGGCTAGCAGTTTTGCTTAGGTAGAATAAGATAATGCAAGTAATCTACATCTTTTGGTCCTTTATACCACAATTAAATTTTAGGTGGAATTAGACAAGCTTAGGATGAGGATGGTTTGTGAGCAACCTTGGAATAAAAAACGTATGAGAAAAGAAGTCCCCTGCAATGAAGATCACCAATCTCATATGGGAAGAAAAAGTCACGGAGGTTTGTGTAACAAGTGGTGCTAGCAAAGTTTGTGTAGATTAGGTAGTTGAGTTGAAGGTAGTATTTGATAGGGGAAAGAAGACTCAAAAGCAAAGGTGGGCGAACTCTTGCTGCATTAATAGTTTAATTAGGAAATTGTTGTGATTATTAATGCATAGTACCCTCTCCTTGCAGGTAAATGCTTCACCTTGTATGATGCAATAACAAAACTTCTGCCTGAGTTTTTTGGGGAAAAACTTCCGCCAAAAGATGATGTATCTAAAGAAGAAGTTGAGGTTGAACAGAGATTATCTCCTGAAGAAACAAACAAGAGCAACACGGAACAAAGTGGGGAGATGTTAAATGAGGGCATCGTCTCCTGCTCTGTTTCAGATGGTACTGAGATCAAGCTCCTGCGCATTCAAGGAATTGAACCAAAGATGGAGATTCCTTTTGCATGGGTGGTAAACAATTTGATGAACCCTGAGCACTTTCTTCATATTTGTGTGTATGTCAAAATTCAAGAACCCATCACCATATAGCAAATTGTATATTGAATTAGCTTTTTCAAGAGATTTGGGAATTGTTTAGTTCTGATAGTGTATATATCTCAGTTACTATAAACAAGTGCATATGATATTTTATATGAGAGTTTTCCCTCTAGCTCCTGTCAATGCTTTTTCGAACTCCTCAATCTTGCAATGATCTGAAGTGAAGCATAGACAAAATATAAATTTGTGTGGGTCAATTTTTGTATTTGAAAAATATAAAATATGAAATTCTCAAATTAGACTTATTACAGAATTTGTAATTTTATTTCATAGATGAAATCGCATAGCAGTGTGTTGTGTGTATTGAGAATTGATAAATGATTTAGGGTGGACATTTTTGTTCCACATAGTTGGCAAATCATGACACTCTGGTTCGAGCTGTAATGCTCTTGTGGTTCTTGAATTGTCTCTTTTGGGACTATTGAAAAGTCTTGTCAAATTTATTTTACAACTGTATACATAACACTTTTTTAATAAGAACAGGAATTAAGGCAATGCATTTAATAGTAATTTGGGACAATTCTGCAGCATGTCACCTTGCCATTGTCAATATTCAATAAGGGAAATCCAATATATTTGATAATATGTTCCAAGAGCTAGCATGTGGACATTAATTAATGCATGACAATCTTTGCTAAATGCTCATATATAAAAAATCAAGGGATCAATAGGCTATACATATATATGTCGACAAAAATGATCATGTGAATTTGTACCAACTTGTCTCTATATAAATAGGCAGATGACCTCCTATCATGATGTCATTCCATAATTAGGCCTAGATGCTAAACTAGTCCCCTCTCCCATAACTTGAGTGCAAGAGTGACAAACAAAAAGAAAATAATTGATTTTTGTTATGAAGTTTGCAAGTCCGTCTACCATTGAGCTGAGATTCTCGTAAGCCGTTATGCAACCTGATTGAGTAGAGATCTTATGAAGCCAAATTTATCCCCTAAGATTTTACTATAAATAGTCATTTATGAGAGTCCGGCATTAAAACACACACTTTTTGAACCCTAAATGCCAAAAGGGACTCTCTAAAAACATTCACCAATTTGCCCATTTATGGGCAAACTACAATTACCATCTTTTAACACCGTAGTCCCCGTTAACTCCAAATTGATCCAAACTAATATTACACAAATCTACTACAATTTTTTTTGTTAACTCCTCACCTGAATATGTATATCTCTTTCCCAGTTTTACGTATATTGTAAAATCTTTTTGATACATAAAATCACGACTTTTTTAAATAATAAAAGTATTAAAAAACTCACTATTTATTTGCTTACAATAATAGTAAAAAAATTAGTAAGCTCGACGGGGACAACGATTCATGTCCATTGAAAATAATATCATCCATCATTTTTCTGAAATAACAAAACAATAAATCAAGTGAATATCCAAATATTTTGAAGTGGACAACTTAATTTTTTTACCTTTGAATGCGGATCACAACTCCAATACTTATAATCGAAATTTCTTGAAGTCCTCGATGTTTTCATTTTACAATACTCTATGTATTTACAAACATCTAGTTCAACTGAATATACAGACTTTCCACATTGTTGATGATACATGACTACCAAATTTCAAAAATCAAAATATAAAATATAAAAATGTAGAAGATGAATGAAAAAATGTGGAGTGAATAACCCATATTTATTGTTGAAGAAAGAGATATAGATTCACGTGAGCAGAGTTACCAAAAAGAATTATAGTTCGCCTATTTGTGTACCTTTAAGATTTGTATAATATTGATTTGGATGAATTTTGAGTTAACGGACACTATAACGTTAAAATATGATAGTTATAGTTCGCCCATCAATAGGCGAACGATTCGTTTTGGGGTATATTTTTAGAAAGGTCCTTTTGATATTTAGACTTCAAAAATATCCGTTTTAAGGCTGGACTCTCATTTATCACAGGGGCAATTTATGAGAAAGGCCTAACATTTACTATTACTGAAGCTTAACTACAAAAGCTCCATACGACACATGTCATATGTTGTTCTACTTGTTATTGTTCTTTAATTTATTTGTCATATGTTGTTATTTTTTTTTACTATTTTATTATAAGATCAATTTAATTTGCATACTTTTGAATTACACTTACGATTGCGTATTTAAAATTGGGGACTGCCATAGGTCCTTCCATCAAAATTAATAACCAATTTGTGTCCAAGTATAATGAAAAGGGTTTATTTGAATCAAAACTATCAAAGAAAGTATATTTAGATTGAAATTATAACGAGAGATATATTTAAAATTTTGAAAGTATATTTAGATTAAAATTTAAATATGTACATTTTGATGTTTTAAAATATTCATTTTTTCATTTTTGAATTTGAAAGTTTTAAATTCATTTTTTCCCCTCTTTAGTAATTACAGTATATATCTTAACATATAATTGATCAAATCCAAAAAAAAAAGTAAATTGATTAGTTCCAAAGATAATACTAACTTTGAAAAATAATACTTTCCCTCCTAGTTCCCAATTAAGGTGACGTGCTTTCTTTTCTCAGTTTATTCCAAAAAGAATTATACTTTGATATTATATTTTTTAATTTTAACCATTATTTTTAGTCAATGATATAATTTATATTTATAGAAACGCCTATAACAATTTTAGATCACAAATTTAAAATGATGGTAGCTATAAAAAAAAATGTTGAATCTTTCGTTGAAGAAATGGTAAATGGAAAAATAATTGTAGTAGTGTTTGAGGAAAAAACGAAAAATAAAAATATATAGTGATAAAAATAACCAAAAAAGGAAAAAGTCATATCATATCATGTGTGGTAATTGTGCTTATACTATTACTTAAAATAAATTATAAAGAAGGCGTGTATTTTTGGAAAATGGATATATCACAATTATTTCTCTCTGCACCAATATGGCCCAAGAATACTAGGAACTTTTTTGAGTTTTTTTTTTTTAGAGTACAGAATTAATAATCAAGAAAAGGATTTTGTTTTTTTTTTTTTTTTTCATTTTGTACTAAGGTTTATAATTCTTAGTTGTGGATACATAGTTTGAGTTACATGTGAAAATGGGTGAAGAGCATTTAGCCATTGTCCCTTCTGATAGAGCTGTTGAACAGGTTTCTACTTTTATTGACCTTACACACTATTTTCACAATGTATAGAGGCTTGATGCAACATATTGATGGTGTCTGCTTGCGTATATAGTAGATGATTTAGTGTGTATTAGCTCATGTTTTCAGTGTGCTTACTGATTGTCTCATCACTATCCTATATATACATGTTCTGTTTCACAGTATCATTGTTCTTTTCCTATTTTACATTGTACAGGCAATAATTGCACTGAAGAAAGGCACCTTATTGAAGTACGGTAGAAGAGGGAAGCCCAAATTCTGCCCTCTCAGGTTATCTGCGGTAAAGCATTATTACATGGAACTTGTCAACTATTAAAGTTAAATATGTCGAAAGACAAAAATGTGTTTTCTTGCTGCTCATATAAATATATAATCTTTTATTTTTCTTTGTTGACAGGATGAAAAGTTTTTGATTTGGTACTCTGGTGAGAAGGAAAACCAACTGAGCTTAAGCGCAGTCACAGATATCATCCGTGGCCAAAACACTGTAAGTAGTGAAGCAGTCTTACTTGTTAGCTGAATATTGTAATCAAGATTGTCCATAGTATATATGATTTCCTTGTTGTTTTTAATAAGGTAAATCAACAGAAACAACTTAAGGCAGAGATGGATAGTCAATGCATTTCTCTAATATATGGAAATGATGACCATTCTCTTGATCTGGTAAGTTATTCATTAGTCTCAAAGTTAACGGAAAGGATACACTACATGGATGTTATTCATAATCCATCTGATCAATGCAGATATGCAAGGACAAAGTTCAGGCTGCGACATGGTTTCTAGGATTGAGAGCTGTAATATCACGGAGTAGACATGGACTGGTGGAACATATGAAAAGCAAAAGAGGAGTACAAAGTTGCATCAGTAGTCCAGTAGGTTATTTGCGGAGGAAACATAATCTGAAGAAAAGCAGATTTTCTCAGGTTCTTGATGTCTTTTGTTTATCAAGTTCTGAATGTTTCACCTGATACTTTGACAAGTGGACAAAAATATGATTCTATTACTTCACTCACATTGCTTAAATAAAATGGCTATACATACTTGCAACGATCCGGTAAGTTCTTCTATGATCATGGAGTGCAGATCCTTGGACTCTTCAATAACATCATTTCTTGGATATAAGGGTCGTGGAAGTTTTTCAATGGCACGTTCAATCTTCATTTCTTCTCTATAACTCATTCTCCTCCTCACCCTTGTCCATGGTGCTATCACATCATATATATCTGCTGTCACTTTGTAAAAAAAAAGCTTCTTTAACATCTCGTCAGCCAATCGGAATTGGAGTGGTATCATTCAGTCCCTCTTCACTCAAAACTCCTCTTTGTACATCTGCACCATAAACATTGTGCAACTGTACACAATATTACTTGATTCACTTGAATAAAGCAACTATACGTATTTTTCTAATATATACCATATACATCCTTGTATTAATCTCCTAATTCATGTATACTGCAGTCTTGATGTCAAACACAAGTATATGCTAATGGATGATTTTCAACTTTTTTTTTTCTCTTCCGGCTTGATAATTATAAAAAGTAATGCATAAAGCTAACACCTTCATAAACTCATGTTAATAGGAACTTTTCTTGTGTAATGTGTTTGTATGCTCTATTTTGTCCATATGTTTCTACTGAGTGGGAGACTTATTCCTTGAAACGGAGTTTCTACTCCCTCTGTCCCATTTTATGTAGGATTTTGAGAGTCAAACCCTTTTAATTTTGCTGTCTATATCTTGTTATAATGTGATCTGAATTGAACTGTCTTTTCTATCTGACAGGATAGGTGCCTTTTCTATTACTCTAAAACTGATATAGATTTATTTGTTCAAGGTTCGCAGCTTCTCAAGGAGTCCAACTCAATCATTTTCAGATAAGTGCTATACTGATGGCTTATCATGTTCCTCTGATATCTTTCTTCCTCTATCAAGTGTGCACAACGGAATGGATGATGTTATCGCAAATTCTTCATCAGATGATTTAAGACGGAAAAGAGCAACTTGTGATGACACTACTATCCAATATGTTTTGAGGGATGTTTTTATTTGGGGAGAAGGAGCAGAAGGAGGAGGATGCTTTGGTGATGCAGGGGAAGTAAAGATGGATGCTTTATTACCCAAACTTATGGAGTCAACTACGACGCTTGATGTACAAACAATATCATTTGGGAGTAGTCATGCTGCCTTAGTCACCAAACAAGGTGAAGTTTTTTGCTGGGGTGAAGGAAAGAATGGAAGGCTTGGGCATAAAGTTGATATGGACATTTCATGTCCAAAAATCGTCGACTCCCTTAACGGGGTTCATGTAAAATCTGTCAGTTGTGGTGACTACCATACATGTGCCTTGACAACTTCAGGTGAATTATATACATGGGGTGACAATTTAGTTGTTGAAAAAAAGACCAGAAGCTATTGGCTTCCAAACAGAGTTTGTGGTTCTTTGGATGGTGTGAAAATATCTTACGTCGCTTGTGGAGTATGGCACACAGGAATTGTGTCAACATTTGGACAACTTTTTACTTATGGAGATGGAACTTTTGGTGTTCTTGGTCATGGAAATCTCAAAAGTATGGCTCACCCGAAAGAAGTTGAGTCCCTTAGAGGTTTGTGTGTGAAATCTGTTGCTTGTGGACTGAGGCATACAGCTGCATTAGTCGAAATATCTGTCCATGATCACCTTAAATCCAATCATTGCAGTGTGAAGCTTTTTACATGGGGTGATGGGGATAACGGAAACCTTGGTCATTCTGATAATGAGATGAAGCTTTTACCAACCCTTGTAGCTCAACTTGAGGATCGCGATTTCATTCAAGTTACCTGTGCAAACACCTTAACGGTTGGGCTGTCAAACACGGGAGAGGTTTACACAATGGGAAGTTTGGTGGATAGGCAGGCCAAAGATAAATCACTAGTCGCGGTGCAAGAGAAACTTAAAGACAAGTTTGTTACACAGATTTCCTCAGGATCTAATCATGTTGCTGTTGTTACATCTAAGGGAAATGTGTACACATGGGGTAAAGGTTCACACGGACAGTTGGGACTAGGCGATAAGAAGAATAGAAATTTCCCAACTTTAGTTGAGGCTCTTAGAGACAGGCAAGTGGAACATATTGCTTGTGGATCAAATTCAACAGCAGCAATATGTTTGCATAAATCCATATCAAGTAGTGATCAATCAGTTTGCAGGGGATGTAGCACGACTTTTGGGATTATTACAAGAAAGAAGCATAATTGTTACAATTGTGGTCATTTATTTTGCCATGCATGCTGCAGAAAGAAAACCACAAATGTATCCCTAAGTTCAGACAAAACTAAAGCTTTTCGAGTATGTGATCCATGTTTCTGCCAACTTCGTAGAGCATCCAAGCATAGCAGCCAGAGACAAGAAGCTATTGATAACTCAGAAGAGTCAAATAGTATATCAAGTCGAATGATGTCAACAAGAAAGTATTCAAGTGAGAACAATCCATGCTTAGATCCCATTGAATCTTTGTTGGATGATTTTCCAAGATGGGGACAAGTTCCTTGTCCTGAATTCCTCAGAAGAGGACACACAAGAAATGAACACGCTTCCCCAACCGCCCTAATTATGCACCAAAAATTCTCAGAATCAAATAAGTTCCTCCTTCAACAAGTTTCAAACCTAAGGACTCAGGTACATTTCCCATTATCGAATTCTATTACTCGCTTCTCCAAGTTCCCTACAAAATTACACTCTCTAATTATATACTAATTACGTTCTCTGTCCTTTTTCAAAAAAATAACACATTTCTATATTATTCAAAATATTCATTCTACACTTAATGAAATGATTTATAACCACATAAATATCTACTCTTATTTTAGACCACACATTTGAGAATAGTCCCGAGTAGGTTTAAAATGGTCCCTTAACTATACACTTAACGGTAGGGGTGACAATTTCAGCCCTATTAATGAAATGAGTTCATTATGCCCATATTTAAAATAACTTGGATCACTCATATTTTAATTGGTTAAATATGGATATCCATAATAGATCACTTAGTTTTCACTTCCACTCAAAATTCTTAATTCCACTAAAAAATTAATATTAATTTTTAGAAATTCAATTAATTTTCAAACTTAATTGGAAAAAACAGATTTTCTTTTATTTTTGGAAAACAAAAAAAATTTAGGGGTAGATTGGTGGAAGAGGGAGCTCCCTGGGGGTGGTGGGTGCCCGGGGGAGGGGGTAATTTTTTATTTTTTATTTTTGAAAAAACAGAATTTTTTGTTTTTGTTTTTGGAAAACAAAAAAAATTTAGGGATCGGTTGGTGGAAGGTGGGGGGAGGGGGTAAAACTTTTTTTCGTTTTTGGAAAACAAAAAAATTTTGGGGTCGGTTGGTGGAAGGTGGGGGGGGGGGGGGCTTGGGGTGCCTGGGGGAGGGGGTAAATTTTTTTTTTTTTTTTGAAAAACAGTTTTTTTTTTTGTTTTTTGGAAAACAAAAAAAATTTAGGGGTAGGTTGGTGTTGGGTGGATTGTAATCCAAACCATTTTTGCTCAATCCATATTCAATCCAGTCCAACCATTTGTTACCCCTACTTAATGGATTTAGTCCTTTAACTATTTAAAAACTTATCAGTTTTAGTCCTTTAACAATACACTTACCAATTTTAGTACCTTTCATATAAACTTACCGATTTTAGTCCTTTAAGTATTCAAAAACTTATCAGGTTTGGTCTTTGTCCATTTTTATAACAAATAGCTTAGGTTTAACTATACACTTACTGGTTTTACTCTTATTTTAGACCACAAGTTTCAAAAGTTTTTTTTTCTTAAATTCTGTGTAGAGTCAAACTAACTCATATAAAATGAGATAGTGAGAGTACAATATATTGTTATTGTAGGAATCATAAAATACAATGCCCTTATTAGCTTGTTTTGGGTTATTTCAGCTTCAGACAATGTCAGAAGGTCATTATTTTGCTACTAAGAATGAGTGTATGGAAGATGGAAAAGTTGATAGACTATTGGTTTCTCCAATTGTATTTTCCAGTAAGTTAAAATCATCATATAACAAAAAACAAAACTATGTTAATGATGATTTGGAAGTGGAATGGGTGGAAGAGTACAAACGTGGTGTCTTCATCACTTTCACAATATTATCTACTGGGAAAAAGGGAATCAAGCAAGTCAACTTCAGGTAAATTCTTACGACTTCTCTCTCCATCTCAATTTATGTGGCACAATTGAGATGTAAAGAGTCTACTAAGTTTTTCTTTTGAGTGAATTCTTACCACTACTCCCTCCGTCCCATTTTTTTGTGAAATGTACCCTACCTATGCGATTATTGGAGCTTAATTACAGAATTTTATATATTTTGTAAAAGAACTAATTAATGTTTCTTTTTGAAAAATAGATTTTTTCTGCTAAACCAGGTAATATTATTCATGTAATATTTTACAATTCAATTAATGTTTTGTTTTGGGTTGCATTATGCAGTAACGAAAATTTCAGTGCGAAGGTAGCAAAAAAGTGGTGGGAAAAGAACAAGCTATTGGTCTATAGAAAATATGATGTTGAAGAATATACGAATGTGAACCAAGATGTATGACCAATTAGAAGTTCCTCTTTCTTCTAAATGTATATATTATTATATACTTGCTCTGTTTAAAAAAGAATGGTCTACTTTTCATCTTAGTTTGTTTAAAAAATAATGACTTTTTTTTTGTAACATTTTAATTTCAGTTTTTCATGTGACATGTTTAAGGCCACAAGAATAAAGGGCAATTTGTACATTTGACATAACTTTAATTTAGGATCACAAGATTCAATTCTTTTTTATTTTCTTAAATTTCGTGCCAAGTCAAAACTAGGCCACACTTTTTGAAATGGAAGAGTAGTAATAAGTTATACCAGGTTAACATGATGAGTAGTTCATGTTCATTAAATCGTTAATCCACCAGTCAAAAATTAGATGGGTTCGAAGGAGGTAATTTTATCTTGTAAACAACTTCTCCCATTTTATATATGATGCTATTTTTAAGTTTATCTAAAAAAAAGAATGATATTTTTTAGCTCCCAAATATATATATGACTGGTTATAGATCACAAGTTATAAAAAGATGGGGTTGACAATTGGGCGGGCAGTAATGGGTTAAGACAATATAATCGAGTCAAGACCCAACCCAATCTAAATTTGCTTGGGTTAAAATGGATTAGGTAACCGATTACATAACGAGTTAAGACTCAATCCAACTCAATTTTTACTAAACTTAATTGTTTTATTTGTTCTTTTAAACTAGTTAACTACCTAATAAAATTATTTTTTCCCCTTATTATGACCACAAGTTTCAGGACACGTGTGTCCCAATTCTACTAGCATGTTATTTTAAAAAAAATAATAAGATAATATTAAACATGTGTGAAAAGAGTAATATAAATTTGAAGAAAGAAAATACAAATTGAATTTGACAAATAATTAAGCTACTTAAATGACTTAATTGTTCAATACAAAATATTAAGGATTGCCTAAACTTAGAAAAAGCAATTAAATTTAGTTATATAGGTGCAATGTGTAATCAAATAATAAATATGTGGCTGTTTGTACAACTACAACAAGACATGATAAAATATAAGTTGTACCAAAATTTTCAAAATTAATGTTACTACAAATAGCTCTAAAGAAACTTACCCCAAATTAAGCACAAATACAATACGTATACACATTTTAAAGTGTGAGCATATATGATATAACTAACCCTTTTTTTAGTAATACAATTGTAGGAATAATTTTATAAAGCTAGTATCCTAAATCAGCATTTTAAACCATCATAACATACAATTAAAAAGCAATTATTTATATGGAAGAAAATAAATATCAACCTCAGTATCATATTCTTACTATTCTAGGAGAAAAGGATGATATTATATTCTTGTGTAAATATGTCATATTTCTATGATTATTGTGAAGTTGGGAGTATATGAAATGCAGCATAATTATCCTATTTATCACTCTTTTGTAACTAAAATTTTATATAAAAATCCATATTAAATGTGAGTCCTTATAATTCATAAGAACGTGAATGGTCAAATTTTCATTTTTTAAACATAGGAGCAGAAAAGTCTACTATAAGGTTGATTATCATAACCATTATTAGTTAGTATTTATTAAGAATACATCAATAAATCAAATACACTCCGACATTCCTTATTCTCCTAATCCATTATTTAGCCATTATTGCATTTAAAGTAAATAGTGCATCATCAACTTGAAAATTAGGGGTAAAATGATAATTCAATTTTGAGGCTAGGTATATATATATATATATATATATATATCATAAGTATCTGAAATCCAATGTAATATAGTACACTATCTCCTACCATCTAAAATAGTCATTTTACATCTATAAAAACATAGTATTATATTTGAATCCACACTAAAACTAAAAGCCTGCAATATACTAAAAGATCAGTAACAATGTATACATATGTCATTTTCTTTTCAAGATCTTTGAGGGGGTAAACTCCTCTCTATATGACGTTATCATCATCTATCAGAAAGTCAAAATCATTAAAGTTCAAGCAGAATAAAAGAGATTCAACTACATTATTCCTAAAAAATACCTCAAAAGATTCTTACCTCTATTTTGTAATTTTTCATAGTGTTACGTGATTTAGCCTCCGACTCAACCTACAAATATTTTTATCCACATCTTAAAATACATAAAATTTATATTCAAGAAAACAAATTTATAATTAGCACGTCAAAAATCTCACCATTGGATTAGTTAGAGAAGGCTAAAGACGGAAGTGCAAAAAAGAATTGTGTAATAGAGCAAAAATACCAAAAACTGTTAAAGGTCACAAAAAGAAAAACAGAAAAACTACCTAATTTTGGAATGAGGAGACGAAAATTAACTTGAATATGCAATGAAGCGTCATGCTTTAGTATTTATATTTATATTTATAATAAGCAGTACAATTTGTAACTTGCATAGAAATAATAAAATACTGTAATAAATAAGTATTGAGTGTTTAAATTGTCAGTAATGTTTTTTTGATAAAGTTGTGATGAACTTTTATTGTTAATTTCTACAAAAATCACATAATTAATAACTCTTAATTATTTTAATTAAGAAGAATACATAAAGATAAAGGTTTTTGTCTACCCCTTTGAATTACAAAAAATAAGAAATAAAAAATAAGAAACAAAGAATTAATAGCTATTAAATATGGTGATGGTTAGACTACTAAACTCATTTTGCCTTTTGGTGATTCATTATAATGTGATAAAAATAATTATTATAATTAAATGGTATATTTTTTGAATGTTTTTATAATTTTGTACATAAATATGAAGAAATTGTTTATGATTAAAGGATAAAACGTCCTACAATTTTTAATGGACATTTTGATAATTGAACTTTCAATTTATAATTTTTCCACTTTTAGAATAGAAATATAATATATGCACCAATTGAAAATTCAGAAATTGATATAACAAAAAATAAAATTATGTTTCGTAGATTTAAGTACAATGAATATGAATTTACTATTATATTATTATTCTATAGATAATATTTATTATTAAAAATAATATTAATATAATAATAACTCTTTTTAGAGACTTTTAAAAAGGTAAAACCATTGATAAGTAAAAAAATAGAAAAAATAAAGGCAACCAGAAAAAAATAAGTTTTGCTAGTTAATAAGGTGTTGTGTAAACATATCACCCAAAAAAATAAAATTATAATTCTATAATGAAATAACGATTACCAGGAGAAAGGAAAGAAATTATTACCAGAAAAAAGGAAAGAAATTATTTATTGTCAGTACTTTAATCGTATAGAATCAGCACAAATAAAAAAATATAATCACATGGTGCTTCAAAGTTAAGTGGGCATAATATTATTCCAAATAATCTGAATACAAGAAAAGAATATAACCAGATGTTCACGAAGAAGACCAAAAAACAAGAGAAAACAGCGAGCAATATACATAATATAAAAAATTCTTTCAATTTTAAGATATTGATAATAAACAAATGCAAAAGTTGATCAATATTAAAGAACAAATCTTTCATTTCTATTTTTTTAAAAAAAAAAAACCTTACGTGGGTTATCTCTTATGGAAGAAGTATAATTATATATCAATATAGTCATTGAATTCTTAGAGAAGATATGGTTCTTTATTAAAAAGTTATGACCTTTGGACTTCTTTTTACTTAAATTCCAAAAAAATAAATAATCTAAAAAGGCAAAATGGTAATCTAACTTTGAAGTTAGGATCTTCCCACTTATATATATATATGATATGTAACATATCAAATTGAAAAAGAAAAAAATTAAAAATATTTTGACAAGATTTGTAATGAGCCAATTCGAGTTACATATCAACTCAATTTTAATGGGTTGAAATGAATTAAAATAATGAATGATCGGGTCAATAATCAATCCAAACTTAATTGGATTGGGTGAATTGAGTTTGATTTTGTCACCCTGAAAAAAGATGTCCTTCAATTCTGTATCGGTCTAATCATCTTGAATAATATTGATTTACTTGATCTCTAATCATCTTTGTATTGAACAAAAACCAACTTGCAAACGTGGCAAAATAAAGGTTGGACATGTTGAACCAACAAAAGTGTTCGAAGATATTAGTTCGGTGGCATGGCCGGTTTCAAAGATGTGTTAAAAAAGGATCAACCTCGACTTATTAGTGAGTTTGTGGAATAATAATCATCTAGAAAAAAGTGAAAACTTGTGGTCCGAAAGATATATCAGATATTATCATACATATGTCCTATCCGCAACAGAGCTGACATGGCTTATAGAATTTCCACGCGTGGACGACAACCAAAGACCATAGTACTTTAGCTCTCAAGTGGAACTTTTCAATTAGTTGATAGATTAGTAGTTCTTACACAATTGTAAAGGAGGAGATTCTAAACAATAATTATAATTATAATAAAATATACTATTATTCTTGTACTCCAAGCTTTCCACATTTCACTAACGGCTTGTTTGGAAAGTCATCAGGTAATTGAAATTTACCAGCTTAGTAATTATGTTGACATGGCTGTTGCCACAGTGTAATTACAAATGTAGTGTTGGATGCACAATTGTAATTTTAAAATTATATTGAATTATAAAACTAAAAGTTAATTATTTAAAATTTATATTTGACAAATAAAAAACTTTATAAATAATATCATATTAAATATTTAAGATGTATATTGTCTTTAGAAAATATATTAATTAATAAGAATATGTTCTTAACTAATATTATGAAAAATAATTGATTTATATTTTTCAAATTAGTATATTTCAATTGAATTAATCATAAAAACTAAAAGTACAAAATTTCTATGAACATCATGAAATGCATGTTTGACAAAAAAATTAATATTATAAATAAAATGTCATAGATTATTAAAATATTTGGCAAAAAGATAATCTATCAAGTCTAACTAATAAATAAATGACTTGCAATGTGAAGTCTCAAGTCAATACTACTAAAACAAATGAAACTGAAAATATAACATAAGTTCTAAATTCAAAACAAATTAGTCTTATGTCAAATTTCAACATAATATACATAAATATGATT